TGACTCTTGAGGTAAAACTAAGATCTGAGTTCTGGTTGTTTTTGCTTAATATGGGGAAAGAGCAAGATCGAGATGGTAGGTAAAGCTCTTAACACAGTTTCCAGCATGTAGTAAGTGCTCTTTAAATGTCTGTTTTTGATTTTGTTGTTGTTGTTAACCCTCACCCAAGGATATTTTTTCCATTGATTTTTAGATAGAAAAATCCTTTTTAGAAAGTGGGGGTGGGGGATATCTATGTGAGAGACACACATTGATTGGTTGCCTCCCACAAGGCCCCAATCAGGGTTGGGGATCAAATCTGCAACCCAAGTACGTGCCCTTGATTGGGAATCGAACCTGAGACCCTTTGGTTCATGGGCCGACACTCTAACCGCTGAGCCAAACCAACCAAGGATAAATGTCTGTTATCATTTGTAATAGTTGTTATTTTATTAGTATTTCAGAAAGCTTTTAGTTATGTAGCCCTTGAGTTTTTTCTTTGTTGAGATGAAGAGGTAAAACTGACTCTTTAAATAATAATTTTAGGAAGACTAGTAATTCAATGAGTCCTAGCCTTCTAAGAATGTAGAAGTATATAATGAATTTTTCTGAAGGGGTGGTGGTTATTAGTACTAAATATTATTTCAAATGTGATTTTTATTGGCTTGAGAGAGAGAGAGAGAGAGAAACGTCAATGTGAGAGAGAAACATTGATTGGTTGCCTCCTGCACGGACCCTGGTCGGGGATCAGACCTGCAACCCGGTGGTGTGCCCTGACCAGGAATCGAGATGACGACCCTTCAGTGCACAGGAGGCCGCTCAACCAATTGAGCTGCACCCGGAACTGAGCTGCACCCGGCCAGGGCCCAAGTGTGTGTGTATTTTTTAAAGGCTTATAAAACAAAGGTAAAACAGTCTTGGCTGCATCGAAATAATCACAGAATATTATTTTTTATTTCTGTTTCTTGAAAATAACATCACATTTTAAATTTTTCTGGAAAAGTTAAGACGTGTTTTTTAAATGGTCTGGATAGTGAAGCTTTTAGCTTGCTCCCAGTCCAGCCTATACGGTTTGTAGCAGAACAGTCCACTATGTAGTTTGCTGTTCAACAAGATATTTCCAAATTATATTTTGTACAAGCCCAGATAGACCTTGTTTTCACTTTGAAGGCATTTTGAGGTCAGTGATGTTTAATTTAGTGCATTGTACAGGGTAAAATGAAGTTGCAGCTTGTTCTGACACTTCATGAAATAATGTAAATGAATTATTTAGTGTTAAGTAAAGAACCCTGCTAAATTATTTTAAACTATTCCAAGTTAATTAAAGTATTTTAAGGTTTAGTTCTCTAAAAATATGTCATTTTCAGTCCATAGATTAACCTTTTGAGTTTTGAATCATACGATACCCTCTTTTAATTAAAACAAAATTTAAATGTATAATGAAAAGGTTAAATTTTTATATGAGCTCTTTATTTTTAAAAAAGTTAATTCAGTGTTATTTCTTTATATACTTCAAAGATTAAGAAATACCTTGAGGATAAAAATGGCATGGCAGTCTTTGGATGATGGCCTTGGCTTTTTTAGAACTGTCGCATTGGAACAGAAAGGAAAGGATGCCACGTGAACCTGATATCAGGATGCAGTGGCTGCAAATAAATTCTTCAGATAAACTCAAGTATAAGAGTATGACAAGAATAAGCTATCATTTATAAAGACACACCTACACAAACTGAAACCCTGAAGAATTTCCAAATTGTGAAGTAAGGGAAACAACCATTTAGTGAGGAAGGAAGGAGCTAGTGCATGCTTCCGTCTTTAAGCATCTCAGAAGATTCCATTGTGGAGTGAGGTGATTGAAACAGGGAAGATGATTTAGTGGCAGCACAACAGATAGATTACCATTTAGAGAGGCCAAAGCCCTGAGATACATTAGGGGATCGGGCTGAGGTTAGAACACAAAGAGGTGTTCAGGAAAAGGCTGCCACATAGCAATATATATGTATGTTTTCTTAAGGAGTTACACATGCTTAGCTTTAACACTTGGTAAACATTCCTATATGGTTCCACTTTTTTCCCCTCTAAAGGTTGATCTCTTAGTCACTTTGAGACATCCTATCAGCTTGGAGGACTCATTTTTCACCCAGTCTTCTTACCTAACCTCTTATAAGCATGAGCATTCCTGCTCCAGCTTGCCCTCAAGTGCACACCTTGGAGTTAATTTTTATGTCATAGCAGCATGCAATCAGTTGTCATAATGCTGCCACCCATCACGCTTCAGGACCGCAGTTAATTACAGATAAGCATTTGTTCAATGTTGGTCTTCCACTAGAGCAAGTCTTCTTTACTGGGGCGTTCCCGACCTCTAACCCAGTGCCTGGCAGAAATAGACACCCAGGAAACACTTGTTGGATGATTGTCAGCAGGAGACTCCTACTAAAATCTGGTCATGACATAGCTACATCCTGATGCAGATGTGGAAGATGAGCAGGGACTAGATCCCATAGAGACATGAAGTCGTGTGAAGAAGCTGGTGTTTCATCTAAGAATAGTTAAAGAGGCCACTGAAGGGTTGTAAGTCCAGGTCCACCTTTGGGTGGACATCTCCCTTCTAGACCTCTAGCTAGTGCTTTCTTCATGGTTCATAGAAAGATATTTGTCACATGAAAAGCAAAGTAACATTTGATTTATGGTTATATATACAATAAGTTTCTACAGACACTCCCAGAGTACTCTTCTTACACTTTATAAAATAATCATTTTATGTATTTAAAATACAGCTGTGGATTTATAAATAATGAGAAGAATTAAAATATTTATATTTAGCCCTGGCTGGTTTTGCTCAGTAGTTATTGTCGGCCTGCAGTCCGGAGAGACCCAGGTTTGGTTCCCGCTAAGGGCACGTACCTCGGTTAGTTTGTCCCCGGCCCTGGTTGGATTGTGCAGGTGTCAGCCACTCGATGTGTCCCTTTCACATAGATGTTTCTCTCTCTCTCTCTCTCTCTCTCTCTCTCTCTCTCTCTCTATCTCTATCTCTATCTCTATCTCTATCTCTATCTCTCTCCCCCCCCTCTCTCTCCCCCACACCCAACTCTACCTTGGGTGAGGATAAAAATATATATATTTATATTTCAGTGAATAAATGACTATAGTGAATTCGGCTTCATAATAAAAACAAAGCCTATAGTATAGCTTTCACGTTAAAAAAGCAATTGGTCGATATCAGATATCTTCTGACTAATAGGCAGAAGCAAACAGATAGTAAAATTCATCCAAGGAATTAAATAATAAGAATGTTATAAAACCCGAAAGTTGTGCTTTTGAAGGAAATTTTAAGTGAAAATTATTTTTAGTTCCTGTTCTATTGAACCAAAGAATTTAAAGTCCTGCTCAAATAAACTAATATATGATGTCAAACATGTATCGCATTTATTTATTTATTTATTTATTTATTTATTTAGGCTTAAGCAACAGAAATGTATTTTCTCGCAGTTCTGGAGACTAAAAGTTTGAGATTAGGGTTTCTACAGGATCAGCTCCTTCTGAGGGCCATGAGGGAAAGGTCTGTTGTTCTAGGCTCTCTCCTTGACGGTCCCTGCAGAGAGTCCTCTCCTGTCTGTGTCTTCCCATCGTCTTTCCTCTGAATGTGTCAGTCTCCAAATTTCCTCTCCTCTGCTGCCATCTTGGATCCTTGAACACACATTGCTTTTAAATGACCAGCATTTTTATGCTTTTAAATTAACCTCCCAAGAAATGATTTCTTCTTTCTTTAAGAAACTATACTTTTTAAAATTCTAAATGTAATAGCAGCTTATTGCAGAAAAATTAGAAATCTTAAAATGCATTAATCTTAATCTCTTCTTTCCCTTTTGTGTTAGTTGCACTTCTTTAAAAACACTTTCTTTTTTTTCTATTTATTGAGTAGGCAATTTTCTAACATGGTTTGCAATTTCTTTGCTATGACCATTGCATCTCACTAGTTTCTTTTGGATTCATTTTCCTTTTTACTGAAAAAAAAAATTCTTGAGTAGCTCTCTCATTGCGGATCTATCAGTGGTAGACTTCTTTTTTGTCCAAAAATACTTTTATTTCACTCTTACTCTTCAGTTCTAATTTAGCTAGATATAGCTGGCAATTTTATTCTTGTAATGCTTTAAATATATTCTTATATTCTGATATCTTGCTGATAAGAAGTCTAAAGGTATAATGATAAATTTTGTTGCTTTTTTTTAAATAGTCACCTTGAAAAACTGTATTTTCCTCCCTTAAAACATTTTTTAAATTTACTGTGCTGATATACCAAATGAATTAATGTAATTTTTAAAATAAGTAAGTGGTAAAGTGTGAGTCATGAAATATGGTAATATTTTGTCCAAAACAAAAATCACTTAAGATTGCTCCTCGAATATATATGAGGTGATCAAGTGTAATGTTCTATAGTATGCTGTAGATAGTGTCGTATGTTTATTATTGGCTTTTTTTCAAGGGTGGTATTTTAAATTATATTTTAATTTAAATGGAGTCCTACAACAGACCAGTGCTGTCCCATAGAAGTTACTTTGATGATGGAAATGTTCTATACCTGCACTGTTTGATAAAGCAGCCATTAGACCCTGAGTGCCAACGTATTATCTTTTTATTTACCCTTATCTCTTATTGAGTGAATAGACATTTTAAATTAATAACTTGATTGGTTTTAGGCCATATGATTTAAGGTAATTCATTTTTACATGCAGGTTTTTTCCCCAGAAATTTAAAGATGATTAGCTTCTTTGTTTTAGTAAAGATTTGACTATATAGGATAGGATTAGAAGAAAGTTGTAGAACTATAATGAGATTGTATGTTTAGCTTATGGTCTGGTTTCTACATTATAGTCATATAAGTACTATATTAAGGTTGATTTTTCTTCTGAGGTTACTTTTTATAGAAGTATTAGTTCTTGAGTAAGAATAATTATAGGAATAACTCTAGGTTTCACTTTAATAAACAAGTAAATTTGTTAATAATGTCTTCTATTTTTCAGATTGCAAATAGAAGAATCTTCTAAACCTGTAAGGCTATCACAACAACTAGACAAAGTTGTGACAACCAATTACAAACCTGTTGCCAATCATCAATACAATGTAAGTCTGTCTTCATTACATTATGTCTTGATTCTTTTCTGTATCATATACCTTGCCATCAGGTTTCTCCAGGCTTAGTAAGGAATATGACAATATGCCACGCTTAGAAAAGTTGTCGCTCTGTATTCTAAGTTATACTATTTAAACTACTATTGATAAGTTTTTCAAAGAAATAAACACTTCACTTTTCATTGTTTCTAATGTTTTAAATTTATGGTGTCCTTAATAAATAATAGTTATACTATTTTTCATTTTCTTTTTATTTCCTTTGAAAGAATGCTAACATTCCTCAATACTCATTTTAATTAGTTAGTTAGTTAATCCTCACCCAAGGATATTTTTCCATTGGTTTTTAGAGAGAGTGGAAGGGATGGGGGAGAGAGACATACCCATTGATCAGTTGCCTCCCGCACATGCCCTGATCCAGGCTGGGGATGAACCTGCAGTCCAGATACATACCCTTGACTGGGACTCGAACCCAGAACCCTACAATGTGCAGGCCAGTGCTGATTTTTCTATACCTTTATACCAGAGTTTTTAATGTTTTGACAAAAATTTAAAGATCACGAAACAATGATAATTATTACTATCTCACACTACCATGCAAAGTGAGGACTGCCCTTATGTTTTTTAAACCTTTTTATTGAAGCATATCATATATACAATATATATTGTATTCTACAATATACAATACACACATATATTGTATACATCTGTATACTTTGTGCCAGGCACTGTCCTGGGTGTCTCATAGTGACACATTTAATTGTCATACCTAACTCTTTGAAGTAACTACTAGTATTAGCCTCATTTTACAGATGAAGTTACTGAGACACAGAGAGGTTAGCTTATAGGTCAGTCACCCAGCTGGTAATTAGTTGGTCCAGGTGTTGGACCTAAGCAGCCTGGTATAGGAGCCTTACTCTTAATTAACCAACATGCTATGTTACTGCTGGTCATTAGCATTGCTAACAGAGCGAAGGGTTTTGGGTCTTGAAATACCTGTAATGGAAGGAAAAACGTGATGGTTCACAGAAAATAAAATGAAGCCTAGGTTAAGTCAAGTAGCAATTAATAGTTGACATCTTGTGCCCTACTTTGTTGCTTAAGATCTTGATGCTGAGTTTAGGAAGAAGTAAACTCTAAGACTGAACTGAACTACTAGTTCATTTTTTTTCTTCTGCTTTTATTTATTTTTATATGTGTTTATTTACTTTTGAACCACTACTTTATGATACTTGAATTTCTTCGTTATTTTATATGAGAGAGGTGCCATATGTCTGCAGAAACAGGCAGGCATCCTCAGTGAGCAGAATGCTAAAATTGAAGAAGGTAAAATCCTAGGGACTGTAATGAACTGAAATGCACATGACCCTTCTAAAGATATTCAAATTTTTAAAATTGCTACACTATATGTAGATTAAATAAAGCCAGTCAGAGTTCAGTTGCATTCAACCAGGCTTTAATTTTACAGCCTTTGGTTATTGCTTTAAGAAAAATGTAAACTGAAGAAGAAGACAAGCAATAAGTGGAGACAATATTGTCAGATTATCCAAGAGATGTATTTTTCTGTTGTCTATTGATTGAAACAAGTAGATAAAGGTCTACTTTTTTGTCCTCTTCTATTCTCATCTTTTCTACTTATAAATGGTAATACATGCAATTTTCTTCTTCTTTTTTTAATCCTCACCCGAGGATAATGTTCTGTTTATCTTCAGATAGAGTGGAAGGAAGGGGGGAGAGAGAGAGAGCGAGCGAGCGAGCGAGAGAGAGAAACAGAGAAACATCGACTTGAGAGAGACACATTGACTGGTGCCCCCTGCACAATCCTGATCAGGGACTACCGCTACCAAGGTACAAGCCCTTGACTGGAAGCGAACCCACAACTCATTGGTCCACAGGCCGATGCTCCAACTGCTTTTCTAAAGACAAGTGGAAATATACAAGTGTAAAATATTATAGGTCTTCATTGTCTTTGCCCTTCTTCATTAGTGTACTTCTCCGGTAGCCCCTGACTATGCTTATTTTTTTGTACTTATGGGCCAAGTTTCTATGTACACTTTCCACTCCCGTGTATGTTTGTGGTGGTTGTTTTTTTAAAAAAATATGTTTTTACTGATGTTTTTAGAGAGAGATAGAAACATCGATATGAGAGAGAAACATTGATCCGCTGCCTCCTGCACGTCCCCTACTGGCGATCGAGCCAAAATCTGGGCACATGCGCTGACTGGGAATCAAACAAGCACCTCTGAAGTCCATGGGATGATGCTCACTCAGTTCACTGAGCCATTCCATGTGGACCTGTCCATGTTTTTATCACAGTGAAGACAAGAATGACCTCACTTTCCATAAGCTATAAAGAGATATAACCTTTCTGAAGAGAATTGTGGAAAGAAAGACAAGTTGCCCAAAGATGTATATGCAATAGCGTCTATTTCTGTTCTTTAAGATAGAAGACTGGAAACAAGTGTTCATAAATGAAGATTAGTTTAATACTTTAACAGTCATCATTTTGGGGTAATAGGAGTGTTTTTATCCTAATCTTCTTTATAAAATTGTTTTGAATTGTCCCAGTATATATGGTTTGAACTGTCACAGTGGGCAGTAAAGCTTTTCTGTTGGGATGGTGTTACTGGCGAGATGACGAGATCTCGGTTCTTCTTGAAGGAGGGATTTCCATCAAGAGACACAAAGTGCAGAAAAGCAAGCAAGAATTTACTGGCCGCAGTGAAAACACACTTAGGACAGCGAAACAAGGAAGGGCTTAGCATAGAAGAAGCCACAGGAGTCCTAGGCTGGGCTGCTTTGGCTCACTAAGAAGTCAGAGAAAGGGGCCTTGGGGACAGGTTCAGGGGGTCTGCCTGGGATGAGCTGCCACTGCCCATTGCTGCCCTGGTTGCAAGTCTCCTGGGGTCCCTCAGAGAGAAGAAGGGGGAAAGGAATGGCACAGGCGTGCTTCCCTGGGGGAGAGCACATGCTGGGTCCTTTGAGTTGATGGTATTTAACTCTCTCTTGCAGGTGGGAATCTTAGGGGAGGTCTCAGGGGAGGGTCTCAATAGAATATTCATCAGCTTCCCGGGTGTGCTCCTTCAGGGTCCTGGTCTCCTGATTGGTCTGCACCAGGGCAGGGGGTCTTTAGTCAGTGCAGCTGGTCCTGAGGCAGCCATGGTGTCACTTGTCTGGATTTGCTGCTTTTCTGTACCTGGAGCTGAAATACAACTGAGGCCTAGATGTTATCTTTAGGGAAGAAAAGTCAAGGGGTGTAAACCAAATGACCAGTTTTATGAAAGATCAGGGATCCAAACGCATAGCCCGCAATATGCTAGGGGAGGAAAGATTAGCCTGGGGGTGAGGTCCTTGTTTTTTCATTTCTGCCTGTTGCTAGGTACCCTGGACTTTCTGCCCTGGTGACTCTCTGTACCTGGCCCAATGTCCTTGCTCTGTTCACACAGACTGTAGTACTTACCAGTGAGCCAACCCGGCCGGAGCTAAGCATTACATTAAATTGGTCTCTTTAGCCCAGCTGGTGTGGCTCAGTGGATTGATCATCAACCCATGGACCAAGAGGTTGCCGGTTCGATTCCCAGTCAGGGCACATGCCCAGGTTGTGGGCCAAATCCCCAGTGGGGGGGCATGCAGGAAGCGGCCAATCAGTGTTCTCTCTCATCGATGTTTCTACCTCTCTCTCTCTTTCTCTCTCTAAAAATCAATAAAGAAAAAATAAATTGATCTCTTTAGTTCTGGCCAGTTTGGCTCACTAATTTGAGAGTTGCAGGTTCGCAGGTTCGATTCAGGTCAAGGTCACGTACCTCAGTTGCAGGCAATCTCTATCTGTGGCCCTGGATGGGGTTGTTTGGGAGGCAACCAGTTGATGTGTGTCTCTCTCTCTCCCTCCCTCCCACTCTATCTGAGAGAAATAAAAGATCAATGGAGCCCTGGCCAGTTTGGCTCAACAGTTAGAGCATCAGCCTCCAGGCCAGAGAGTCCAAGGTTCAATTCCCGCTAAGGGCACGTACCTCAGTTGCAGTTTGTCCCCGGCCCTGGTTGGGGTTGTGTGGGTGGCAACCAGTCGATGTGTCTCTCTCACATCGATGTTTCTCTCTGTTCCTCCCTCTCTCCCTCTCTATCTGAAGATAAATCCAAAAATGTCCTTGGGTGAGGATAAAAAAAAAAAAAAAAAAAAGATCAATGGAAAAATATCCTTGGGTGAGAATTTAAGAAAATTAATAATAAATAAATAAATTGATCTCTTTAGTTCAGCGGTTCTCAACCTGTTGTTCGCAACCCCTTTGGGGGTTGAACGACCCTTTCACAGGGGTCACCTAAGACATAACAGTAGCAAGAGTACAGTTATGAAGTAGCAGCGAAAATAGTTTTTTTGTTGGGGGTCACCACAACATGAGGAACTGTATTAAAGGGTCACAGCATTAGGAAGGTTGAGAACCACTACTTTAGTTCATGAACTGTCTGGAATATAATACCTACATACTTGCCATTCAGAAAACATCGATCGGGTTCAAAAGAATTCTACAGTTAGCTTTACATCTTAATTCACCTCTTCCTTGAAAGCTTGGCCCTGACAACTCTCCCCTTACCAGCATGTAACCTGTCAGATTTCTCCCTTAGTGGCCTTTCCTCTGTATTAAATCTTCATTAAGTTTGTGAGCCTTGAACCACTTCATGTAGGTCACCAGTTTCCAAAGTGAGAGTTTTAAAACACTAATTTTGTTTGAATCTCTTGGGGGGGGCGGGGGAGTGAAAAGGATTCTGTGTTAAAAGAACATGTAGATTCTGCTTATACGCCCCCCCCCCGCATTCAAAATTGACACTGCCTTTAATATATTAATGTTGGGAATCTTTAGGAATTTGTTTAATCCTGCACTTTGCAAACATTTTAATATTAAATTCCCCTCCCCCATTCTTTGAAGTAGTGGAAACAAACTTTGGGGAATAATATGTTGTCTAAGTAGGATTTACAAGAGGACCTAGTGAATGAGGGC